GTAAATAAAATGTAGTATATCTACACAATGAAATATAACCTTGAAAAATTTTAACTGATGGAAGCTAGTCACAAAAGACCACCTGTCATATAACTCAATTTATATAAAATATCCAGATATTCGGAATAGGCAAATCTGTAGAGATGAAAAGCAGATTAGTGCTGGTTTTTCTGGAGGTTCATAGAAAGAGATGAGTAATGACTGCAAATGAATACACATTTATTTTGGAGGTGATGAAAACATTCTAAAATTAAGTGTAATGCTTGCACAACTCTGAATACTAACAAACTATTAACTGCATACTTTAAAAAAAACATTTAATTTCAGGGGTGCAATTGCAGGTTTGTTACATAGGTAAACTTGTGTCATGGGGGTTTATTGTAAAAAAAACTAACAAATTGGAACTAGGATTAATACCTGAGTGAGGAAATAATCTGTATACCTTAAGCTGGTGAATTTTATGGTATGTGAATCATATCTCAATTTTATTTTAAATTATTATCATTATTTTTTAAATTGTGCTTTAGGTTTTGGGGTACAAGTGCAGATCATGCAGGATTGTTGCACAGGTACATACATAGCAAGGTGGTTTGTTGCCTTCATCTCCCCATCACCTGTATATGATATTTCTCCCCATGTTATCCTTCTACATCCCCCACTGTCCCTCCCCTAACCCCCCAGCTGAGCACGGTGTGTGATGCTCCCCTCCCTGTGTCCACGTGTTCTAATTGTTCAACACCCTCCTATGAATGAGAACATGTGGTGTTTGGTTTTCTGTTCTTGTGTCAATTTGCTGAGAATGATGGTTTCCGGATTCATCCATGTCCCTATGAAGGACATAAAATCATCATTTTTTATGGCTGCATAGTATTCCAGGGTGTATAGGTGCCACATTTTCTTTATCCAGCCTATCATTGACGGACATTTGAGTTGGTTCCAGGTCTTTGCTATTGTAAACAGTGCCACAATGAACATACGTGTATACATGTGCATGTGTCTTTATAATATAACAATTTATAATTTTGGGGGTATATATCCAGTAATGGGATTACTGAGTCAAATGGAATTTCTATTTCTAGATCCTTGAGGAATTGCCACATTGTCTTCCACAATGGTTGCACTAATTTACACTCCCACCAACAGTGTAGAAGTGTTCCTGTTTCTCTACATCCTCTCCAGCATGTTATCTCCTGATTTTTTAATGATCACCATTCTAACTAGTGTGAGATGGTATCTCAATGTGGTTTTGATTTGTATTTCTCTAATGACCAGTGATGATGAGCACTGTTTCATAAGTTTGTTGGTCTCATAGCTGCCTTCTTTTGTAAAGTGTCTTTTCATACCCTTCGCCCACTTTTGAATAGGTTTATTTGTTTTTTTCTTGTAATTCTGTTTTAGTTCTTTGTAGATTCCGGATATTAGCCCTTTGTCAGATGGGTAGGTTGCAAAAATTTTTTCCCATTTTGTTGGTTGTCTATTCGCTCTAATGATTATTTTCTTTGCTGTACAGAAACTCTGGAGTTTAATTAGATCCTATTTGTCTATTTTGGCTTTTGTTGCCATTGCTTTTGGTGTTTTAGTCATGAAGTCATTGCCTATGCCTATGTCCTGAATGGTTTTGCCTAGGTTTTCTTCTAAGGTTTTGATTTTTTTTTTTTTAAACAGGGTTTTGCTCTGTCACACAGTCCGGAGTATAGTGGCACAATCTTGGTTCATTGTAACCTCCCGGTTCAAGCAATTCTCTTGCCTCAGCTTCCTTAGTAGCTGGGATTACAGCTGCATGCCACCATGCCTGTCTAATATTTTTACATTTTTAGTAGCGATGGGGTTTCATCATGTTGGCCAGGCTGGTCTCGAACTACTGACCTCAGGTGATCTGCTCACCTCAGCCTCTCAAAGTGCTGGGATTACAGGCAAGAGCCACCACAGCAGGCCTTCAGTTTTGATTTCTAAAGTGGTAGATAGATAGAGCTCATATAAATAAAATTTCTTTGAAGTTCTCAATAATTTTTAAGAGTTTAACTTTTAAAAGTTTAAGAACCTCTTTCCTAATATAAACTAGAATCTCCTAGTTGGTCTTGATGTTTTTATTCTAATTCCCTGATGGTTTACCTTTAATAATGATTAAACAAAGATATCCTTTAAAAATGTAAGTTCAATTATATCATTCTATTTAAAAGCCTTTCAGAATCTTTCTATTAATTAGGGTAAATCTTATAGCCCTTATCATGACCTTGTTATCTTTATCAATAGTCATGTTCTCCCATACTGGCATTCTTACTATGTCACAAACATACCAAGCATGATTTCACATCAAGACCTTAGAATTTCTATTTTCTATGCCTAGGTCATCTGAAGATATTCACCTGAGTCACCTCATTACTTTATTTAGTCAACAGCTCAAATATCACTTTCTATTTTAGTCCTTTTCTGACATATTTCCTCCCATAGAACCCTTCATTTCTCTGTTTCCCCTTTCTCTTTTCTGAACTACTCTATTTGTGGACAGAGCAGATCATAATTACCAAATAAAACTCATACTTACTCAGCATCCCTTTACCAGTGATTGATAAAAGTTGATAGTAAAAGTATTCCAGCTCCTGTGATCCCAATGTGGTATTGCTCTTGAGACATAATGTTCTTCACTGGCACCTAGAGTTCACTAGTGGTATTAAGCTCCAGTTTTTCCACAGAAGCAAACTACCCAATAGCACACACTATATTGGTGGATTTCCTTTTGCAGTCTCATTTTCCTACTTTCTTAAGAGTATTTCCCAGTATTGCCTACTCACATTAAAATATTTGTTTCTTACAGTTATCAGATTTGATAATGTATTATTATATTTATTTATATTTGCTATTGCATATTTTCTCTTTCAACTACTAAAATATAATGCTAAGAAGATAAGAATCTTGTTTTTCTTATTGTGCTTATATTGCCTGGCACGATGCCTTGTTTAAAATTGGCACCTAGTATTTATTGAATGTAAGAATAAGTAATTATTTATTCCTTACAGTGATCCTGTAACATAGGTGCTATTGTCTCATTTCTCTATCATAGCTGATGAAAATAAGATTTCAAAAGGATAACTAAATTGTCCAGTGTTGCACAGTATGTGAAGAAGTGTCTCTGCCCTACCTGTGTGATATCAGAGTCCATACTTACAACAAAATTCATAAAAGAGAAAATTCAGCTTTAAGATCTAAGATAAATTATTAGAACACAATAGCAGCAAGTGACATTATAAAGGACATCTTAATATTCTTAGATTCCTCCTGATAAAGCTCGGGATTAAGTAAGGTAAATCTTCAAAACTTAAAGGAACATAAAGGTGAAATTAAAACAAATTAGTATAGATTCTTATGAAGATCTGAGCTCCTCCCCTCTAAGTTTTTTTCCCCCCCATTTATTTATTTTATTGCATTTTAGGTTTTGGTATGTGGCTTACAGGTCTCCTATACTCCTCGATGATTGCTGTGGTCACTTTTCCCATCAGAAAACTTGATGCAACTTATGATTCTCTGCTTTACCTGGTTAAGGGTCAAATCCATGTCTGTTTTAAGCTACCTCCTTGTGTTTTAAAGTTCAGAGTAAATCCACTATCTCCTAGATCTCCGTCATTTTTTATCTAAATATGGGAGAGCAACCTTTAAACTTGCCTAGGAGAATAGCCGGCACTATCCTCAGCAGGTGGCCATTTAATGGAATTACCCAAATGTAGCAGTTTGTGACCTCTGTTTTCTATTCAGTAATTGAATACCTATAGTATTCTATGACATCAGAACCGAAAGAACAAAAAAGAAAAATTATGAATGTCTACCTTTTTTAAATTATTGTTTCCTTATTTTCTTCAAATCTTAATTTATAAACTAATTTGGCAGATGGAACAAAATTGAAGCATTAGCAGCCCTAAATTATTTTATTTATTTTAATTATGTCTATTAGTGAGGAAAAACACAAATGATTTTAACTTCTTTACTGCTCAACTTAAAAAATTAGTGAGTCCTTTAACAAATTATTTTACAATAGGCCAAAGATATAGATTTTTCTCTCATAGGGTTTTAAACAATAAATAGTGTGGTGACTTGTCACAAAAGTTTCAAACGAAGTGGGCATCTGGTATTAGAGAATATAACAGTAGGACCAAGTGAAAGAGGAAGAGAGGGTGACTTGAATGAAGAGACAGCAGACAAAGCCAATTATATGACTCAAACCTGTTTGCCTGAGAATCACTATTTTAATATTTATCAATTCTATAGCTTTGCCAAAATTATTAAAGTCTTACTGAAAGGATGGTTTCATAGAAAATTAAAAGCAAGGACATTTGTTATAAAACTTGATTTGATTCAGCTCTACTACAATCTGATGACTTGAAAAAAAATCTTCATTGCCGGTGATACAATGAATTCGTTAAAGAATGAGAGGTTCACAAACACCATTTATTGTGTTGACTTCAGGTGCCTAAAGATACAGTCCTCAACTTCATTTATCTCCAGCATCTAGTGAAGTCAGATGATTGAGTTATTATGCACATTTACACAATATATATATGTACACATATATGTCACTTTTATTTATATTATTTATCCTGACATAATCTTTCAATTCAATGATGTTAAAAATTGGCAGCTGACTTGGCTGTTAACTTTTTTTGTTCAAATTCAAACTGCCATGGCATTATGAATACATGGAAAGAAAAAAAAGGGAAGAGGAGATCTGATGGCATCCTTTTACATATGGCTTCCAAAGAGGACTAGAAATGGCCATGCAGGGTTGCAAGAAATGCTTCCAAGACTCCACTCCCCTTTTGTGAAAGCAATAGTTTGATGGAAGAAGTCAAGTGTGACACAAGGAGGTATTTGTTACCTCTCTTCTCCTCACGAAGAGCTTCCCACCTTGAAGGGATTTGGCTCATGCCAGGAATGAAGAATTTCATAGAGAATAAACTGATGGAATAAAGATGTTATCATGGGTTCAGTCCTTTTTCTTTTTTCTTTTCTTTTTTTTTTTTACTCCCTTGGAGGAAAAACTGGGTAGCATCTCACCATTATTAATAGTTGTCCTCCTCATTGCTAAGATCATCATGCTGCATATCCTGGCCAACATTCCCAGTTCTGAATTCAGCAGAAACTTAATTTGAGGTAAATTCAAGGCTAATAAAGGAAAAAAATATAAAAGCAGAGTATATGTATCTCAGAGCCTCACCTGGTAATAAATGTACGTTTGTATATAACTTTACACACAAGTAATCCAGCAAAACCAAAATTAGTCTAGAGAAAATGTCCTTTTACTTTTTCCTGCCATCCTTGCTTCCTATAATATTATATTATTATGTATTCAAATAAAGAAAATATTGGGAAATGTAGAGATGAACTTTTTATTTATAAGTTGGTGAATTTGTCATCTAGGACCTATATATAAATTCTATTAGAAACTTTTGGATTTAAATATTATTGGTAGGAATGTTGTTTCTATAGATATAAAGTTCCAAATTCTCATAACCAAAAAGAGCAAGAAAAACATCTTCATCATAAATCCAGTCTACTAAGGTATTTCTAGACACTCAGCTTCCTGTCTTTGATCAGCAACACAGCAAAGACAGGAACAGGGAAGAGAAGCCTCCTTTCCTTTTTGTCTTTTCTAAAGGAAGTATTGTACTGAAATGTCCAGAGCTTAGAGAGTACTGTCACATTGTTTTTGGCTTGAGGGTTTTGGCTTGAAATCCTTTGATTAGATGAGACAAATAAGATTTTATTGAGCCACTAGGGAGTTAGAGGGTTCTCTGAGCCAGACAGGAATATCAAATGGTAAGAGGTATGCATTACAATTTAACTACACAAATGAACACGATTTGACAGTCTTAGAAATAAAAAGAAAGGTGACATAGGTGATCACAATTATAAAAATAATTTATAGTACCAAAAGTTTTCTTTTTCTTAACACCATAAATGGCCCTTGTTATTTAATGTTATATTTTTATATGTTCAGAAAAACAAATGAAAACTTTTTGTTCTTTTGTAACTAGCTGTGACTAATGAATATTTTTAACTCTTGACAAAACTATCATTATGTTGTTACCATTTTGAAGCAGAGTAAAATAATGTACATAGGTGACATATAATAATAATTGTGTGATCCTATTATTGGTAAGCAGAGAACTATGATTAGCAAGGTTAAGACATTAGATGTGAAATGTTTATGTATTTTTTTTCTTAAATAAGTGCAATGAAAGCAGAAAGTTGTAGAAGTTTCTGATTTTTATTTTATAAATGTGGCTGAATATAGAACAGGTGTCAGCGTCCATAGATTCATTTACATTTCTCTTCTTCCACATCTCCCAGCCTCCCCTTAACCCTCCAGAGCTCTCTCTATCTTTCCACATCCCCACATTTCCCCAGTCCAATCAATAAACTTCTTATCATAAAAATGCACTCGCTTTAACTTTGCCACTAATATTTAGTAGTTACAAAATCATGCTTTAACTAAACGGGTATATTTAATTTCTAGGAGTCACTTTTTAGTGGCCCTGATGTGATCACCCACTTGTAAATTGTCCAGAAGAAATGATTGACCAGATTTTTCTTGACGTTTTCAGATGAAGATAGCTGTCTTTTCTTTTTGATTTATGTCACTTGGCTTTTTACAAAACTCTTTCTCTTCAGAAAAGACCTGGTTTTGTCTAAAACGACTCACAGAGATGAAAGGCCCAAACAATGAGCAGAAAAGCATTCTGTGTCTGGAAATTAATGAAAGCCTTGTTTCTAATTTGAAGACTACATTGTATCTAAATATCCAACATAAAGGTCATTTACGTACCTTGATTTTAAATTAAAGCTAGGTAAGGAAGATTTATTTCATAGCAAGAAAAAACAGTAATTACAGCTCCCCATTCATTTACTATGATACCTAAATACTAAACCTGATACCACTTAAAGAGTCCTAGGACTTTTCCTTTTTCTAAAATCCTAGGGTGTTATCTAAATGCTTCAGAGTGCCTGGTGGTAATCACTGAGGTTGTTTGCTGGGGAGATAATTGCAGGCCTTGTTAACTGATCCACTCACAACAAGAAAACTGTAGACCAATATCTTGCTAAATCTTGCTAGAATCACTCACCTGCTCAAATTAGAGTATGGCCAAAGGTAGGGACTTGAAGGCAAAAGGCAGAAAACTTGACATGGTGCCACCACCCAGGCAATACATTTTACTGAAGACAAGACCCAAAAATATATTTCAGTATCTATGACAGATGAATTATCCTAAAGCTGCTGTCCAGTTGACTTTGGAATAATTGTCAGAAGCCAGATAATTTTTATAGGATGGGATCACCAGAAGAAAAGAATGTAGAAAAAAAACCATACTGGTCAACTCTGCCCAGGAGCCATAAGAATAAATTCCATTGATATTTATCTGTTAGGGGTGGGAAAATGAGTTGCATGATATGTTGGACATATTTTCTGTGAACCTGTATTTACTTTGAGATCATACGCTAAAGACAGAACTAAAGATTTTACTTACAGAAATGCATTTCTGTTGTCCCTCTTATTCTTTATAACTTACAGCATCTCTTCTCCAATGTCTGATCTTGTGCTTTATTTTTGGAATGTCATGGGAAAATTTACTGACCAAGAAAAGGCTACAACACAAAAAATGTGAGAGAGGGAAAAGATTAAAAGTGGTGGGTGTGTGAGCTTTTAAGCAGTATTCTGTTCGATTTATTCCACTTTCTTTACTGTTGTTTTTCAGGGTGTGTCCATTGGGGAATAATTTTCCCCACTCACAGTTCCGTGTGGAAAAAGATTCTTTCTTTGTTGTTCTGCTCTGTTTGAACTACAGCAATGCATAAAGCAGGTCCTGCCAAAGCTCTATGAGAAGGTTTGGTGTATATTGGAAACAAGTTGAAAGTGGGTGGGTGTAGGGAGGGGAGGAAGCTGTTAGGTAAGCTTGTGTGTTTCAGACTCAACAACAGGTTTTGCAAGTTCCGACACTGGTAATGAGTTTGTTCTCTGAAAGAAATCTGGGCCTCTGTGTGGATAAAATAAACATTTTAAATTGAAACGTATAAAAGAATGAAAGAGTCAAAACAACTCTTTCTCTCTTTCTCTCTGAGGGGTAGATGGAAGACTTTGGTATCTGACAGGTGCAGCTTATGAGTAACCTGGACAGCAGCCAGAAGCTCTTGTAAGAACAGACCTAGAAGACCACACCTGTTGATTGAAAACACTGTCTTCCCACATAAAAATATCAAACCACATAAAATGCCATCCCTATTCTCCCATTTCCGGCGTTGGCTGATTGTCATCAAATGAAGATTAACACTAACTATATTATGCAGTTCCAAATCCTGGAAATCTCCGTTGAATAGATTTCATTTGAATAAAATCATAGCCTTGCCTGAAATGGGAAGGTTCATTTTTAAATAGTCTTCCTAGTGTTGTTAAAGAATGACTTTGAATGCCCTTTAATATCCTTGGCAGGGCATTAAGTTAATCTGTTTGCTTCCTGGACATAAATTAGTTTGTATAACTTTCCACAGCTAAAAGCATTATGAAAGTTTGCTAAATGTGAAAGTCATGTCATGTGCCTAGAAGGTGAATGAAACAAGTCTTCAGGGTAATCTCTTTGGAAGAAATACTCACCATCCAATGAGCAATGCAAAGACAGAAGCTGTAAGGGATAGTTGTCTGGATAAAGAAGAGGAAGCTATCTAATAGAAGGGAGCAGGAAGAGACGAGGAAAAAAATCTGTACCAAGAAGCTTCAGAACAGTCTCTGACAAGAATACTTACTAGTAAATTGTTTAAATTCTGTTTAAACTATTGACCTATATGTAAACCTGTCATCTCCTATTTCTGTGCAGTTCTTTATGTCCATTCTGGTTGTTTTTCTTTTTTGAATTGCTGTAATTATAAAACTCCTTCGTATAGAGGTTTAGATGGAGAAGAACCCAATGTAGGAGAATTCCAGCTTTCTCACTACATAAATAAAACGCCTTACTCTAAAAAATTAATGGTGCTGGAACAATGAATTTTTGGCCAAATATTTTATACATATTTTATGTATATAGAAATAGATGTATATGAAAAACATTTGTAAAGCAATATTAATTACTTCCTCCATCTTTATTTCCTCTGTATCCCATATCTAACCCTCAACTTAACATACTTGAGGAATAAGATTTCAGAGTAAGTGAATTTGTTTTGTTTCTGATAGAAGGATGATATAATTTTCTGCCTCCCAAGTAAGAAAAATAGAATAAGCTCTTATTATGTACAAAGCACTGCTAAGGAAGCAGCTAGAGGCAATAAAACTGAGATTATATATCTTCTGTAATTAAATCTTTCTTTTTTTCCCCCACCTTGACCTATACCAGATAATTCCTTAGGTCCCATGAGCATATTTTACATATCATCCTCTACAGTAGCCTTAAGATAAGAAGAGGCAATAAATCAGAAATGTTTAACCCGTGGAGTTTTTTTTAGTTTCTTAAGAAAAATTTGGGAGATGGTGTTTCCATTCAACAGCTGTTGTTAGAAGTTGATTCATGATTCTTACCAGGCACCTATATAGTATTTACTCCAGAATGCATGTGGGTTTCATTGTTTTCTTTGTCTTTAAACATCTTACCCCCAGCCATGTGCACCTCTTTCTACTCCACCTCAGAACACACCCTACATAAATGGCGTTTGGGTTGGTTGGTTGCTTGGTTGTAAAAGTCTAGATGCTTTGGGCCCTATGTGGAAGATATGTGTTGATGAGTGACGGAGATGAATGCTAGGTGTGTGTTTGTTTCTGTCTTATGAGCTCGTGTGACTCTATTTACACTCATATGTTCCTGGATTTATGGATATATGGTAACATTGTTTTCTAAACAGACACATAATGCACTCTCATAAAAAAGGAAGAGCTCAAGAATTAGCAGAAACAAGAAATGCCCCTTTTTCTGTTCTTTACTCTGATGGATTAGACAGGGCTGACTTGGAGCGCCTTCAAATAAATATTTTAGTGCTAATGATCAAACTATCATAGATTTTTCAATCAGTTCAAGAAAGATGGAACAGAATGATTTAAACTTTCCTGACATAGAAACATAAGCATTTCTATCTATGTAGGCCAGGTTGTTACACATCAGTATCCTCTCCACATATTCTTTGCT